TTTTTTTTTTTTTTTTTTTTTTTTTTTTTTTATTTTTTTTTTTTTTATAAATTTTTTTTTCCTCTTTCCATGTTTTTAAAAAAAATTAAAAAAAAAAAAAAAAAAAAAAAAAAAAAAAAAAGCTCATCACGATGAAGTCATAAAGGTGGGGGACCTTCCACATAGAAACAGCAAGAAAAAACAGGGACGAACACGTTTTTTTTGTCAACTATGCTACGCCCAGGTGAGCAAGTCAAACATAATCTCCTGGAAAAAAAAAGAAAAAGAAAAGAAAAGAAAAACAACTTAAGAAAACAAAGCACCGCCACTGTACATACAAAGGGGCGAGACGGCACCTCTGTCCATACACGTGTGTTCACAATACAATTACGCACACAAAACGCTTATTTGCTGGTTATCGGAAGCGAGTTTTTCGGTTTTTTTCTGACAAATTGGCACAATACATGAGACAAATAAATACATACATATACAGTACATGTACAGAGAGAACTAAACACAAACCTTCTATTTAGTTAGTATTTATTAGACTGCTGTTTTGAGTGCATCACACAGATTTTTACTGGACAAGTTCAAACTTTTGATTTATTTTTTTAATCCTTCTGAACAAGAAATAATTTAAACGTTTCTTTCTTCTTTTTTTGCCCTAAATCTAAACAGAACTGTACAGAATGCATATTTTTACTCGCATACTGATTAACACGGTGAGAATATAAAGAAAATATAAGGTTAATGGGGGGCATTTACAGAAGATGAGGTGGCTCAAAGCCTCCGCCAACAAGTCTTTGCGAGAATTTTTTTCTTATTTTTGTTTTTCATTTTTTGTACACTTTCAATAGTTTATTTCATTTCACTTTATTTATGAGAGAGGATGCAGAGGGGGTGGGGGGGCTATCAAGGCCTGTAGGCTCCCCCGCCTGCGGCCGCCATACTCATGCTCTTCAGCTTGTTGTCCTTCTTCCACTTCATTCTGCGGTTCTGAAACCAGATTTTGATCTGTCTCTCGGAGAGGCAGAGGGCATGGGCGATCTCGATCCGCCGCCTGCGGGTCAGGTACCGGTTGAAGTGGAACTCCTTCTCCAGCTCCAGGGTCTGGTACCGGGTATAGGCGGTTCGGGCTCGCTTGCCTTCCGGTCCGGACAAATCTTTGGACAAGAAACACACCAGAAAGATAAAGAGTTTTACAGAACGTTTACATGAGTGTGTAAAGTTTGAACACATTATTGCCAAGATATCGGAGCTGTGCATCATGGAGCTGAATATTCGAAATTTAAAGTTTGAAACTAAAATTGTGTATCCCCCCCAGCCCCCTGAAAGCAAATTTGAGTCTGACTCTCTGGAATCTTTTTAGCTGAATCGGATTATAAATGTGTGTCAATGAATGTATCATAGATATATCCCTACCATGACATTTGTTATAAAATAGCGCTGCACAAATAAGTTAAGCTGAACTGAACTGAGTTTTTAAAAAAAAGAATTGATAACCATATGGACATTAATATATTCATCTACACCCTTCAGAAATTAAAGTATGTACACAAAATATTTCAAAATCCAAATTTTATCGCTAAACAATATTTCATTCTCTGAGTAAAAGGTTAGCTTTGCTAAATGACCCTTATCTGCGTAAATCAAAGCTTTAACAAAACAGGTGAGAGGCGCAATTTGCTGCCACTTTTTTAATATCTGCTTCAGACATCACTAATATAGAATACCCAAATTTCACTCCGATTTGTTTGTAAGTTACAATTCTTTCTTTAAAAAAATCAACAGCACCAGCTCCTCATACAAGACATAAAATCGATAAGAGATCATTAAAGAGAGCAGTTTACCATGACTTATGTGGAGTTTTCTCATCCACGGGTATATTTGAGGCTGTGCCGAGTCGCCGGCACTCTGAGGAGTCGTCGGTGCGCTCCCCGCAGGCTTATCTTCCTCCAGGGGGGAAGCCTTGGACGCACAGTCCCGACCAAGCAACAGCGTGCCTCCCCCGTTCGAGCCCGAGCACTGGGCGCCGCTTATGGAGTTCTTCACGGCTCTGAGTTGGGGTTGCGTCTCGGCGCCCGGCGACAAGCTGGCCACCGTGGAGGAGGAGCACGGCAGAGGCTCAGGTGGAGGCGAAAGGGACGAGTTCTGGCTGCCGCCCGCGGACTGGCTGTACCTGACGGGTTCCACTGACGGGCTTGCCGCTGCCGCCGCTGTGTGAGTCGGGGAGTAGCCCGGCGTCCGCTCGCTGCCCACAAAGTGTCCGCCGCCGGTCCGCCCGACCGTCAAGTCCATTCCGTTGTAGCCATAGCCGTACCTGCTGGAATGCATGGCCGTGGAGTCCCTGTATTGCTCGTTCGCGGAATTATGCTCCCCATAATTATGTAACTGAAAGTCCGCGCCATTGGGATAGCGACCGCAGAATGAGTTCACAAAATAGGAGCTCATTTGTTGACAGTTCCACCTTTTTTGCCCGCTGCAGGTACTGCTGTTGTTTTTGTGATTGTTTTGGTGGAAGTAAACAGCATAAACCTGCAGCTCCTTGATTTGTGGCTCTTATGCTTTAGCGCGTCCTATTGCACCCTTGCACAATTTATGATGAATTATGGAAATGAGAGTGGGACATGGACTTGATTCTCTCTTACGTAGGCACCCAAATATGGGGTACGAGGCAGAATCACGTGCTTTTGTTGACCAGTCGTAAATCCTGCCTGGTGACCTCCAGAGGTAAACTCGTGCACGCAGGAAACACTCGGGCGGGATGGGAGGGGGCGCGCGCCTCCCCTGCCATGCGCTCTCAGCTATACGAGGAGGTTTTTCTACTGTCGTGCTGCGCCATCCTCTGGCGCAACTGTTGCACTGACTGTCTGCGGCGCTTTTTTTTTTTTCCCGAGGCGTGGGCTCCACACACGGGGGTCATTCGGAGGTTAACGACCATTGCGGCAAAGAAAGAGGTCTCCCAAACAATACAACGTGACATGCTGAGAGTGCAATCTCTCCAGAGATAGTGTACAGGAATAATTCGATCAGAATCTGTTATGCACGTTGTGCCGGGAGATGGCTGTAAATAGGCTGAGTTAATAGAATAAAAGCCCATTCAGTGCAGGGCCGCGCTCTTTTGCACTTTTTCCCATATAAAAGAAGCTGAATGACTTCATGGGAGAACGTACTGATGAATAAATGTTGGGGGAGAGGAGATTGAAGCTCAAAACATCACATACACAATATCAAATAATGCAACAGAGCCTGCCGTTCAGAGCCTTTGCAGCTTGTGCCACTTTGGCAAAATGAATACCCACACATTCAGGCTTTATATGAATACAGAAATATGGTTTATAAGCAGGTTAGAATGGGTCGATGCAAAGAATCAGGCACTTTAGAAGATGGCTATTGCGTGTCTTATTTTACGCACATAATCCGACCTTATTTTTGTTTTATTTAGAGGCGACTCTTTTATCATTCTGACTTTTAAACGCTCCGTCCTCCAACAAAGTTACTTTTTATATATGTGTGTGTGTGTGTGTGTGTGTGTGTGTGTGTGTGTGTGTGTGAGAGAGAGAGAGATGTCAACTGAGACCGATGAGAGAATTACATTTCTCTTTTTATGAGAAACTAAAGGCAACCGAGATTTGTTCTCGAACTCAGAGGAACGACGAGAGGGAGAAGACAACGCGTTGGGAAACAAATATATGAATATTTCGCAAGTAATTTGTAGTTTAAGCTGAAGAAATTGTTTCTGAAATGAGACGAGAAAAAAATGCGAAGAAGAAAAATAACTAATTATAGCAGAAGGAAAGAAATTGGGGGTTCATCGCATTCCAAATTTATCATTCGCTCTCTTTTTTATTTGGAATTGCACAGATACGGCTAGAATTCTGCATTTCTCGAATCAATGAATTTGAAGAATGGTCACTAAAAAAACTAAACTTTCAGCTGGAAACTTATATTCTTTCTCTTTCTTACGTTTTTGCTCTTTTCAAAGCATTCCAATCACTCTGTTCAGCTTTTTGTTGTGTCACAAATGGATAAATCATCTTCAGACATTATATTATAAAGAGATGAACTACGGAATGAGGTCAGAGTCTTGTGCATGGAGGCGCAGAAGCCTCCATAAAGCCTCCGGAAAGCTCTGGCAACGGCCAAAGCTTTCAGTTTGGCTTTTTTCCCCTCTTTCTTTCTCTCTCTCTCTCTCTTCTGGAATTTTTATGGCACCTTCGCCTCTCAGAAGCACAGACTTGTTCCCTGGTTCATGCCCTCTCTGACCCCCGGAGCGGCCATTTTTGTTTTATTTCCCCAAATGCACAAGCCCATTCTTGCGCGTTAAGAACGCAGAAACGCAAGAAATGTGTTCGACTTGGAGAGTCCAGAAAGGCTCGATGCATGCTCTGCAGCAGTGCGTAGGACTGCACAAAGGTTGCACACGAGCTGCTGCGCAAGGAGCGTGTTGCCGAAACTGCAATGCTACAGCTGCTGATCTATGAGTTGGGGGCCAATGACAACAAAGTTCCCACGAAACCTGTTTGAGTTGAAGCAGGGACACACCCGAGAGCCATAGGAAGAGAAAAAAATAAAGGAAAGGAGGAACGAGAGAGGCAGAGGGGCGAGAGGAGGGTCAGGGGGCATTCACAGCGACACAGCATCACAACACGATTGGAAGAAAACGCAGACGAACCGCTTTACAGCTGGCCTTTTCATATGATGGGGACGTTTACCAAAATAAAGTAGAAAAATGAAAAAAAAAATGTCATTCCTAATAATAGTGTTTCAATCCTTTTTTACTTTTTTTGGGGCGCAATCATCTTTACACAGTCCAAATAATAATAATAATAATAATAATAAATGAGCGTTGTCCTTTTTTAAACGAATAATTATAATTTCAGAAATTGAATACATAAATATCTATAAATATAAATATCTACATATATGCATGTCTGTATTACGGTCACAGAATCTGTGAATGTACAAGAAAAAAAATGTGTTTGGTCAAAAAGAACAGTTTGTAAAAGTTAACGAGCATTTAAAAAAAAATAAAAAAATCTGCAAAGAGCCCTATATTAGGGCACTGCATTAATTTTCAATACCTGCATGCTCCGATATAATCACCATATGTAATATGTGATGCACAAATTTAACAAGACAAGTTAAAAATAAAGAACAAAAAATATATTGTCAGTTATTATTTTCCCCCTCAAGCTGCACTCAGCGATTCGCTGCAAAGCAACTGAAGCCGCAAAGTCTCGAATTTAGACACGCAACTGTCTTGACGATTTGCATGCTCACACATTAAAATGCAAAAGATTTACAAGAAACAAAAGCCGCAAATGTCAAGCCACGAGGGCTTTGTTAGGGGCTGCACACAAATATTTGTAGCGCAGCAGCTGACACCACAAGGTCGGCACAGATTCAATCTCATGATTGCACTTTGAAATTTTTTAAATCTGTATATTCAGAAGCAGGGTGTGATATTTTCAAGAATAAAATTGTCAAACGTCAAGCCCTGTTATGTTCTGGCTCCAAAGCAGAGATTTGCAATTCACCAGTTGCATCTTCAAAACCTGCAGTTTCACGCAGCACAACGTGTCAAGTGTTTAAAATGTGCGTGCTCAGGTAAAATGCAAAACACGTTCAGAAAATAATCGCACACACAAATATAAGATTATACACACATGTTCAGCTCTTTTGACACCAGGACTAAAGCCAGACCTTCATAGCGTTTCCTAATCTTATCCACAGGAGGGCAGCAAAGAGCACGTTTTGAATCTCGCAGACCACATTTAAAGCAAAACAACAAACAAATAAGGTCCACATGGGCAAGTCAGAACACGACGATATCACAAAATAAACGCAGTCTTTCAAGAGCGTGGACACGTATCTATTTGATATCAACATGTACCTGTCGTCAAATTCAAACAATGCACAGGAAAATTGAGCATTAGCATTTAACGTTGCAAATTCATAAAGACGGCTGAACATGTGCAGTCTGGGAACTTCGGGTGTCTTACCTTGTGACGGCCTCTGCATGTCAACAGAGCAGATCAGGGGTGGAAGGGGAAAGCCTCCAGCTGAGTCCACGGACGGAAACCGGGACTCCTGGGGGTCAGTGACGCACCAGCTCTCCTTCCATTTGTCCCGCCAAGGCGTGTCAAAAGCCCAAACATATCCAATCATGCCTCAGTGTATAGCTCCTGTGTTTCGATTTAAAATAAGAGGGGAAAAAATGCTAACAATAATCTCTAAAATAGCAAAAATGAGAAAGAGTTGAACATAAGGTAGGTGACTGGTGGGGAGAGTCGAGCAAGGAAGCCTGAGTCTTCTAAATGAAAGGCTGCTCTATTCCGCTATTGGAAATTATATATATATATATATATATAAATATAAAAAAGTTCATGTTCACGGCTCGGTGACACGTGATCGAACCGTCCAGCCAATGGGAAGCGGAGTGGGCTCGTAAAGTTGAAGCGCTGTGTTGTAAATTTTCATAAACAACAACGGATTTATGGCCCGGCGCTGGGGACGGAGGGTGAGAGAGAGAAAGGGTCGGTGATGGAAAGGGGAGGAGAAAGGCTGGAGAAGGAGAAAGAGAAGGGAAGGAGGGCGGAGGAGAGAGGGGGTGCAGGTCGCCATCAGGCGCCATCTTACCGAGAGAGGAGGAGAGGGAACGCAGAGTTCAACATCCGCAGGCAGCCAGTCTCACCTCGCATCCCCATAGTTCAAATTCTTTAACTTCACTGTTTATCTAACCTCTCACACAGAACAAACTTTAAAAATGGCCTGCACAGGTGACCGAAATGGATAACCTGCTATAGGTTCGCTCTCGCTTCGACGAAAGTAGGTGAACATATGCAGACAGGTTCTCAACTACGCACACCCATATATATATATATATATATATA